TTAGTTTCAATAGTATATATAGTTATTTATTGTCTGCACTTTCATTTTAAATCATGTTTTGTTTGTTTGTTGTTGTTTCATGTACCGACAGCAGTCTCGATGTATTTAAACACTGCTTTCCAATATATTTCAAATATTTGACTCTGAAGTAAGACTATTTCATACACGCTTTCAATCGATAACCTATGGTCCATGTAAACTTTAGTTGAATAATTTTCTACTCCAAGGAACTTAACTCTTCCTAAGTGTCTTCGATTTTTATAACCGATCGTATTTTCTTTGTTTTGCTACTTCAGAAGTCTTGTTAATTCCACTTAACGAAAGGAAATAAGAACGTAGGTATTGTCGCTTCATCGTCTGCACGGATGATGTTAGTTCGACGAGAAAAATAGGCATTTTATCATTTGGTATATATGGTTTTGAACGCTTTCGATTGTTACGTAATGTCATCAGAAAAATAGTTGTAAATACATTTCGATAATGATAAAGACTGTTACCCCCCCTTCTCTTTTTAAGCTATCATGTTGGTATCATCCACTAACTGGTTTTAAGAGCAAGAAATAACATCAAAATAAAACATGTACCCCTGCGTCTCCAATATGCCTCCACCTAAATTTAGATAAGATCAGGGGTTGAATTTTGCATTGGCATTCTATAGTTAACAATGATGACATGAAACAAAATCTCTTGAATGTTTTCTTGCATGGTTCCACAGTCCTGTTCTGCTGTTCTTGAAATATCACGATGAAAACAAAATCCTAAAATTACATGTCAATAGATCTTTTTGACGTTTTACTCGACAATCCCACAACCTGATTACTAGTAGCACGTTTTAAGTTTCCAGCTAAAATAGCTTAAATTATAATTATTGGTATGGTGATAAGAAATCAAAAAGCTAATTTCATGTGTATTGACTTGCTGATCTTTGACTTGCTTAACCCCAAATCTACTCAGTTTGTCTCATGATTGTAATGCATACTAATACCAAGTTTTAAGATCATGGCTCAAATCCTAATTCAAACAAATAGTTACAACCTGTTTAACAAAAATTTAGAAATCAACCAAAAATATGAATGATTAGATACGTGTTCATTTAATTTGTAGACCTATGTCAAGGGTTTAGATCATTCTTTATTCATGTTTTAAATGTCTTAAAAGAGTTGTCTTCTCAGATTATTTGACTAAAACTTGATATGAAGATGTATGAGTTAATCTAGCTAGGTCTAATTTAAATGTATTTTACATGAATTTCTCTTTTAATCTTTTTGACAGTTTTCATTAAATGAAAACTCAACCGAGTTTGCATGGTCAATCCGCAGTCAACAGTTCAGTTGCTTAAAATTAAGCTTTAGTATGCATTCCAAGGGGTATTCGGTAAAATGGTACATTTTTACTGGGGCCAGTTCGTAATATAACCAAATGTAATGCATACGTAAATTGTGAGGTGGCTTGTTACGAATTATTCATTTAACTGAACAATTAGAATGCAGAATGCATACGTTTTTTGTTGCTAGATAGAACAAGCAATTATGTTTTGTCCTATGTAATTTGCATTCTGACTATCTTATGAAGAAAAAAAAAGTAAGATGTGAAAGAAATAATTATAATGGAGGAACTTCACAAAGAAGTATGCATCGAATTTAGCTACATTACGAACAATGACCTATCACATCAAGACTAGTATATGCACTAGTATATCGGCATGTATATCAGGATCATGTTAAGCCTCAGAGAAGAACAAAAACATAAACATAGTTTTCTATACATGAAATTGGAGAAGAAAAAAAAAGCGACATTATTTTAAATTACATGACTTTTATTTATGCCAAAAAATGATGATGAGGTACTCATCTCTTAGTCGAATAGGCTACACACACACACACACACACACACACACACCCCTCACCCACACACATATACACACACACACACACACACACACATATGATATATATTTATTTTTTTATTTTTTTATTTATCAGAGAAGAAAAAAATTCTACACATGAAACTTGTCATTTCAAATTACATGACTTTCCATCAGGTATATTTCACAAATAATGATGATGAGGTACTCAACTCTCAGTCGAATAGCCTACCCACACACATATACAAACACATACGTATATATATTTGTATTTATCAACGTTGCAATTATATCATGAAATGGTCATTGAACAAAAGGTTACCATGACATTATATTATGAGCAGCTGACCGTTTCTATTTTCTGTTTGAAGGTTTCATATTAACAAATGAGTACGTATGCTCAATCTAAACAAGATCACTCGCTCTGACTCTCTAAGATGACTTTACATAGATCCCATTTCAATACAGCTCACATTTTCATTTACCTGTTTTGTTGCTAACCCACGTAATGACGTCAATACTATTAATACTATAGGCCCTTTGCTGAGAGGAAAATAATTGTAAAACCAGATCAAATGAGTGGGGACAAAGGATAACTTGAATCCATGGGTTTAGACGGTGACCGAAACTCTGCCTTTAGGTTATATTCAACATATAATCAGTCACAAAATGGTTTATTTCGGTCTCTTCTTTCCAAACATATTTGAATCTTGGCAGCTTCGTGTGATGGACATGTCCATCCATTGCAAGTTGTATCGAACTAACTAGTCTGGGATCTTCATAAGAGGGAGGAGGGAGGGGGGGGGGGGGGAGGGGGCTCCATCCATTACCCCTTTCTGGGTACACCAGTATGCGAAGATCATTAAATATCCATGAATTGTAGCTGCGGGGAAAGGAACTTGTTTGAAAATGACACAGTGAGCTTATGAACACCTTTTAGTGGTCTGTTTTCCCTACTTGCATTGTGTCATCTCGGATTGATATCGATTTGACCTTCCTCGACAATCAAATTAGCTGTCTACGTAGGTAAGCTTTGGGTAATTATTTTTGTAGGCTATTATTTGTTGGTATTGATTAAATTATACTCTGTTTACAACGGAAAGCTCATATGTGAAATTCTTTTTTTTTTGATCGAGCTTCCCAGTTGAACCTTATCGTAAAATTTGAAATTTCGCCACAAGATATTAATATTTTTTAAAAGCCAAAGGTTAGTTTAATGCGATTGCGCCATTTATCAGATAATTAGTATAATCTTTTTATCATGTAGAATTAGTAAAAAATGAAAATGATTAATATCCAAAATGCCAAATTTTCTGCAAAGTCTGTTTATCTCTGTCTCATCCTATTTTCTCCCCCTCTCCCTCCCTCTCTCTCTCTCTCTCTCTCTCTCTCCCCTCTCTCTCTCACTCATACACATACCCTTTACCTCATTATCATTGTCATCTCTTCAATTCAATTCTTTTCTTCTTCTTCCTTTTCTCTCTCTCTCTCTCTCTCTCTCTCTCTCTCACAAATACACTCATACAAAATGTGAATGAGGCTTTGTGTTTGATGAGGTGACGACCATAATGCTTCCAGTTGGATTACAGCACTAACTCGAAAAAGAGCATATCAATGAGCGACACAAAGAAATGAATTAATAGATTAAAAGGTAAGATATTTAACCGACATCGCTACCTGTAAATATGGGGTATTGTCGGTAAAATGCCTACCTGCTTTTAAAATAATGATCAATTCAACTACAAATAAGTTTTCTAGTCATTTTCCTGACGTTATCACTCAGTTTTAAACTTATTTAAGACTGTACTTCAGCTCATTCTAAGGTCATTCTAATTCTCTTGTGTATATCAACAACTACGAAAAGTTGTTGATTTTAAACGTTTTTTGCTGGTAGATGTTTCCCATTTCTTGATGCTGTCCTCAACAGAGGGAGTCTTATATAAGCCGTACCTCATTCACCTTCAGACGGAAATGAACATGTCAAAATAATGCGGTCGCGTGTGTGAACTCATGGGAAAGAGGTCTCCGATGATATTTTAAGCCCTCTTTTTTAGTATTTTTTCTCGGAGGGCAAGTTCTGCTTTTTCTTTATTACTTCATAAGTGGGATGTTGAAAGCAAATATATTATATATATATACATATATATATATATATATATATATACATATATATATATATATATATATATAGGCCTAAGTCAAATTTGGTGGATCACGTTTGTGACCATTCGAAAAGGGCGTTTTAAAACGGTGGCGAATCCCGAGGATCAAAAGCTCCCCACCTCCGTCAAATCCAATCAGTCATTGCTTATAGGTAAACATGAAGTATAAGAAAATGTGTCACCGGTTTTGTTTTGTTTTTTGTCCCGTCGGTTATCATAAACCCCATAGGTAGGCCCCACCACTTAAAATGTGATGAACTTTTTTTCTTCCTTTTCCCCCCTTTTTGAGATTTTTCGACTTATGCCCTCTTGCCCGAGAATCCTGGCTCCAATACTGAAAATGTAAAAAGTGGCTGGCAAAAGTTGAATGGTTGTGAAATAAGTCTTTTCATAGAAAAAAAATACCGAAAATGATGGATTGGTAATGTGATTCACTTATCTTATTTTATTAATTGTGATCAACTAGGGATCCTGGATGAATAAGTGAGTCTGAATTATGAGGATTGGGATGTTTTATTCCTACTGTATCACCTACAATGGCCTGGTGGTACTATTAGCTGCCTGGATAGCAGAAGATATAGGTTCAACTCCCCTTGGTTCGAAAATAATGATCCTTGCTTACAGATCGTAGAGCCAATCTCGACATTTGAGTAACAATAGCATTCTCATATACATGATAAAATTAACTTGAATGGAAATGACCATTTCACCAGAAAGTAATCAAGCTGCAGTATTAATTACTTTCATCTATACACAGTTACTGGTAAATTGATTGATTTCAAAATAGATTCATGCAGAAAATAACATAAAAAGTCATGTAGTTGCTGACTGAACTCAATCTTGTACCCGCGTATCAACTTAATTTTCAAGATTGGCCCTAAATATGATAAACACAGTAAATCGTCACCAAACAAATGTTACTGTATGTTAGTTGAAAGTTGTTTAGTTTAAAGCACAAAGAGATAAAAACTTACCGGACCATGCAGTTTTATTCTGTCACGTCGTGTAGAACTTAAGGCGAACTCGCCTTTTTCTTTCTTCAGAAATTTTTCTTGTGTTCAGTGACAATTGCATACCCCTTGAAAATAAGCAAACATTATCGATCGGTCTGATCGATAGTCCAAGGAGCAGATCAATGATTAACAAAGGAATCACATTGCAGTACAATGAAAGCCAAACCATGTAGCATCTTTACTCGCTTCATCACTCACGAAAATCCGATTGAATAATTAACTCAACCGTCTCATTCAAATAATAATGCGACTTTCATTGAAGTTTCTTTACAAAACAAAGGAGGCAAAAATAAACTTCCTCTGCATGTATCCTTGCAATGGTTAACTCATCCTATACAGTGCGTCCCAGAAAAAACGAAACCGAGATTTATAAATGTTTTATCATGTCTTTTATTTGATGCAACTCATATGATGCATATTTCACGCATGGAGTGATTAAAAATACTTTGAATAGAGGAAACCAAATAGTCATTTTGCGGGCGGTATCTGAATTTCAAAGAGAAAATCACATTTCTAGAAATTTCATTTTCTGGCCTTTCATATGACACCTCAATCAGGAAAATGAGCCAGGAATAACAAAGTTCTGTTTGTTTAAAGAATGCTTGCATTTCAATAATTTGATTAAACAAATTTGTTTTCACAGGCTGCCTGTCGTAGCAACAAACAGAGCTGACAAAAGACTTAACTCCGTTTCGTTGACGATCAGCAATGCAAAAAGAAGCCGTAAAGGTGAGAGCAGGCAGGTGGTGGGGGAAGAAAATGGATAAGCATTATGCCGGAGCACAATCTGTAAAATAATTAACTCCTCATATGAAGATGACTCCGACGATAGGATCAGGTCACGCATAGTTTGTAGGTGTTAGCCTGGCGGCAAAATTACTTCCATTTCCTATAATCCAAAATCAATCTAATTCGGGCAAATCTATTTCGGCCCTCCCCCTCCCTCCACCTGAGAAAGGTATCACTTCTGATTGGTTAAAAAGATTGCTTTAACGCTCGTCATGAATAGTAGGCTTTTCGTGATTGGTCAGTTAAGGAATATTTTCTTTATTTTAGTTTTTTAAATGATAAATAAGCATTGCTTTTTCGTTCAGTTTCATCCCCTTTTATACTAAAAAAACAAACAATTTTATCATTAAATTTCATGTAAAGGTGGAACGAAATGTTTTTTTTATTGGTAAGCAAACAATTTTTTTCGAAAGAAAGCAAGGTTCATGCTCCATGATTGGTCAGTTATGTGAAACTCTGATGACGTCATTACATTGACATTGATAATTTGAATGACAGTATCGTCACAAGTCATTGGCTTATGCGCATTACAGGGCGTGGCAGGGCGTAGTTAAAGCGTTTAGCGCCAATACGGGCCACTAAACTGGAAGCATAATGACGCGCTTCATGTATGCGCTGCGCGTTGCAAGTATTTACGCCCTAGCTATCGCCCTGGTAACAAAAATGTACACAAATCACATTCTCTAGCACTTTTGCGATCTCGAGAACTTTCTGCCAAACTTTTGACAGTTCAAGCCTATTTTTCACTCTTTTAAAAGATCTTATTTCCATCCGCCACGTAAGTACCTAATTCTTACACATTAATGATTATTTAGAGCAAATTTGAAGAAAAACGGAATAATAGATCTACTCTATATTTTATCGAAGCAAAAAGAACTTTTCGTTGACTTTTGTTGTTGTTCACATCCATTCCCGTATCATAAACATGCATGTTAATGATCTTGATCATGATGTCTGCCAAACCCGCTTACGTGATGACATTATCTCCCCTTTTCTTTTCATGTGCTATTTGTGCATTTCATCTCCGTCTCCTTTTCTCCTTCGCCCTTCCTCGTTTAGATCACAGTTTCTAAATAATATCACTGGAAATGTTTTGCGTCGGACGCATTCGCTCCCCACACCCCTATATCCTTGGCAGACCTTTACCCTGTATCGGGTCAGCTTTTCCTGTCGCCATCCGACCACCGATGGCTATCCCCCAGGATGTAAGCAAGAAAATAAAACATGAAATGAAATAAATAAAAGAATAAGAAAAATGATCTAGAAACAGATAGATACGACAAATACTTCAAACGATCAACAACAAAATGATAGCCAACGTAAAATATATAGGCAAAAATGTTAACAAAATGAAGAAGAAAAAAAAACAGTTATTTGGAAGAAAATACGAAAAAAGAAAATATTGTACATTTAGACTGTAGACTTTGCGTTTACCATGCATAGTCACTGCATGGAATTGTGTAGGTAGCCTACTGTATGATATAGCCGTATATTTGGACATACGATACAAAAGAAAAGTAACAATTTTTGCCTAAAACTTAATATAAACAGGAGCTATGTAGGTCCTTCCAAGACCCCAGCTTCTCTCCGCCTTCTACCATCTCACCCACACAAGCTATGTCGGGCAAACTCCTTTTGAAGTACCTCCAGAACAACTTGGAGAAAGAACAACTTCAGCAAGGCATTGCTGTAAGTCTTGAGTACTAGTAAAGTAATAATACATGTAGTTGAAATCAATCAAATCGGATTTCCCCATTTTTGCGCTAGAAATATATATCATCGATAGTATGAAATCAACGATTTCAATATGGCAATTATGATGGCAATGGTGAAACTACTAATATCGCATAATATGTTGGTAATATCAATAGTAACAATAATATAAAATGAAATATAATTCATCTCAATATTAATGACTATGATATTTGTGTAAATTAATGTGTCAAAGGGCCAAATTGTAATTACTTTAGGGCGGTATAAATTAAAAATTGATTAATTTTTAACAAGTTAAGTTAAGAATGAGTTTATTTAAAGTTTTAAACCATATTAGATAAAAACTGAATTGTATGTCTGATGCTTTCATACAAAAACAAGTATCATATAATATTTATAACAAATTTCAGAGATTGAAATAAGAAACCCAAATTTCAAAATGATCTTTTTTTTAATTAAAAAAAAAAATCTTCTTGCTTTGTTTTGGATGACAGAGCCTGGCAACTCGGCTTGGAGTAAGGGCTGATGGAGATAGCACAGCCCTCCTCACTAAGATCAGCTCTCTGGTGACAGAATCAGAGAGGAGGAGAGTGTCCGCAGAGAGAAGGGCTAAGGCATTTGAGGAGAGGTACCTGGACCAGGCCATGAATTTTCAAGTCTTGGAGCTAGAGCTGGCTGAGACCAGAAAGCAGAAAGATGCTGCTTTGAAGAATCTCCAAGTAAACTATTTATTTATTTATTTTTCTATTTTTGTTGCATATCGGTTTGACGGTATAACAATGTTGCCTTTCATTAGTCCCATTGGTTTTCACCATTTTTGTCTCTTCCGATAGGGTTCTCTTATTTCAAAATCGAGAAAAAGAAGGCAGGCTAATATGATTCAAACAAATATATTCATAGTTGTATAACTATAGAATGTCCATGAGAAAAAGTGATTTTCTTTTCTTTTTTCCCTTCAGGATCTGACATGGGAGCCGACGGTCCTCTCTCCTGCCGACAGCGGCCCATCTACTTGTGTCTCTTGGTAAATATCAACAACAAAAATACATTAAGCACAATAAAAGTGAAATAGTAATGCTCTCGTTAATTTAAAGTGGTGTAATTGAGAAACATAGTTAATATTTCCAACTTTTTGTGAAGAGCATAACGCCATGGAATCAATATCGAATTACTCACAGGAGGCCAATGTCATGATGGGAAATGTTATGTCGGTGTTTCTGTTGTCTTTTAGGTGTTCTGGAGATAATCCCCAAACACCATCGACAGCACCATTATACAATGGAGTAGCACCCACTCATCCATCTACTCCTAGCACAGCCCCCATCGACACCATCCCATTATCCCTCATGTAAGAATCATGCACAAACAAAGGGCTACCCTATGTAAACAAAAATAGTGATAAACAAAACATACAAACAAACAAATAAATGATGAAATAAAACTCGGATTACAGATGAATTTATTAATTAATTAACTAATAATTAAAAGAATGAATACACGCGGAAACCATGAATAAATAAATAAATAAATTAAAAATTAAAAAAATTAAAAAAAATGTATATATATCACATTCTACAGAGATGCAAGCAACGTTTGTGTGCTCTTGGATCTGCCACTAGTCTGGTCATAAAGTACTATCTTGTGGAATGAAAGGATAAACATGAACGAATTCTTCTGTTTTTCCATTTTTTCATTAGACCACCTAGCCCCAGCCCTTGGGCTAGTGGCCCAGGTACCCATCCTACTGGTACCCCTCTAACAGTTCCTCTGCCCGCTCAGGCCCCTGTGGTTCTCCAACTTACTCCACACACAGCTTCACGGTAAGACAACGTTATTTTTTCGATAACAACATTTAACAAAATATTTTTGTTTGGAAATTTCTAAAACAAATGATAACATTTGATTACTTTTTCATTTAAGTGGGCAAATGCGAAAATCGGAGAAGGTTTTTGTGATTTGTTTGTTTGATTTTTTTTAATTTTTTTTTTTATTACTTTGATATCTTTCTTCTCTAACCAGATCTCCAAAAGTGAGTGCTCCTGATGGTGGAACCACTTCGCCTTCGAGCAGAGCAGCTGTCCCAGCCCAAGGCCCATCAGCCTCCTCCTACGTTTGGGGGATGTCTGATCTGATGTCGTTTCACAAGGGCGGTAGCGACGTCTTTTTGGGCAGTGGGGCCAACGGGACGGTACATCTCTATCGTCATCGTGCAACCGACCATCCGATCGCGCTGAAAACCTTCGAACTACCTGACGACATCAAAGCAATGACAAGGAAGGTTGGTTTAACTAACTAAATTAACAAAATAATTTGGTTACCGCCCCTTTATGACTGAGCATTGTAGCGACAGACGGTGACTAAAGAAAGGGAAGAATGAGAATGATGATGAAAACATAAAAACAACAATACTGATATTAATGGTCATGAATTTGTATCTATACACAAGTTTCTTTGTTTTTGTTCTACCTGACAGGTGAAAGCCATTCAGTCAGAAGCTTTCATCCTTGACGTTCTCGGCAGGGAGGATTGCTTTCCCACTTTTCTTGGATGCTTGGA